TAAAATCAGACTTTTGTAAGATATAATGCCTTTATGCCAATAACTGCACATGCAGATGAAAAACCGATTATCAGGAGTAACTACACTACCTCATATATTAACCATTACTATTATTTATAGATGTTTTAATGATCATTATGTGGGCCAGGTGTGTGAAGAAAACCTTATTTGTGTTACACTTAACATCATCAAATTCCATTTTTACTTTCATATTTATCAGGTTTAGTATATATTTGTACTGAGTCATATTTTTTCCAGTGTTCAGAAGGAAACTTTTAGTTTCAAGATCTCCTATTCCTTTTACAGTAATGAGTGTCAAATATACTATTTTAAACCAGACTCTCCTACACTCTCCCATGGCTTTAAAAACCTCACACAAATGCAAATTTGAAGAATAGTGGATACCAATGCGAACATTTTTGCATAAATTCCTACTATGACTTTTTATTCAGTTTTCAAGTGCTCCAAAGTTTAGAGAGAGCATATTTCTTATCTGGAATTCTTATCAAAGTGGTTGTAATTTCCTCTATTACAAGTCATTAGGCATGTATTCAGTCTACACAGACTTGTCAGCAGGCAGACATGACCTGGACACTCTTGGTTGGCAAATTCTTTAATATTCCTCCCTGCTCACATAGCCATTACCAAAAGAGGCTGCCACATGCAATTAAAGAGAACAGGAAGAAATTATCTACAATGAAAAATACCATCATCGACAAAGTTACAGAGGAAAGAGGTTTACACAAAATGATATGAAATTCAAATGGTTCCCTCAAAAATTTTCTGCATTTCTTTATCAAATGAGTATGTCACACTGCAAAAATCAATGCTTCTCTAATGTTTTCCCTGCTGCAGTCGTGACTTTAAAAGGATACTTATTACATAGGAGCTGCTACTGAAGATGACCATTATTTCCCCATTCTATAGTTAATTGCATACTCTCATAAAGCTTTGTGACAAAAGTCTTGAGCACTCCTGTAATTTCCCCAAAATTACTGTGATATTAGGTAAGGCTGTTTACAGTGAATTGGTATCATTCACACAAGTACACTCATACTACTCATACTGTCTTTGCTCCTCATAAATATATATAGTCACAGTCAATTATTTCCTCCAACTATGGTCCCCCATAATATCTTTCTCCCTAATTTGGAGAGAAATAGATTTAATGACTGTTGAATAGAGGGATAAGAAAGTAGTTGGATGATCACATCCAGAGGGTCATGGTCAGTGACTCAGAGTCTCAATGGACGTCAGTGATCAGTGGTACCCTCAGGGGTCTGTGTTGGGACCAGTGTGACTTAACTTCTTCATTAATGACATGGATGGAGGGACTGAGGGACCCTCATCAGATTTGCAGGTGACACCAAGCTGACAGTGCAGTGATACACCTGAAGGATAGGGCCATCCAGAGGGACCTAGAAAAACTCCAGAAGTGACTCCTGGGAATCTCCTGAGGTTTAAGGCTAAGGGCTGGTGCTCCACTGGCATCAAGGTACCCCCAGGATCAGTCCAGGCTGGGCATGAGCAGGTAGAGCAGCCCTGGGGAGAAGGACTTGGGGGTGCTGGTGGGGGAGAGGCTGGACATGGCCCAGTACAGAAACCCCCCATGCCCTGGGGTGATCCCACAGCATGGGCAGCAGGGCAGGGAGGGATTCTGCCCCTCTGCCCCCTCAGGTGAGACCCCACCTGCAGAGCTACCTCCAGCCCTGGGGGCCCAGCACAGCAAGGACATGGAGCTGCTGGAGTGAGTCCAGAGGAGGCACCAAGATGATGAGAGGGATGGAGCAGCTCTGCTGTGAGGAAAGACTGGGAGAGTTGGGATTGTTCAGCCTAGAGAAGGAAGCGTTGAGGTGACCTAATTGTGACCCTTCAGGACCTGAAGGGGCTGCAAGGAACATGGAGAAAGACTATTTACAAGGGCCTGGAGTGACAGGACAAGGGGGAATGGCTTCAAACTGACAGAGAGTAGGTTTAGATGGGATATCAGGAAGAAATTCTTGGCTGTGAGGCTGGTGAGGCCCTGGCACAGGTTGCCCAGAGAAGGTGCGGCTACCCCATCCCTGGAAGTGTCCAGGGCCAGACTGGACAGGGCTGGAGCAACCTGAGATAGCAGAAGGTGTCCTGTCCCTTGCAGGGAGTGGACCTGGATGGTCTTTAGGGTCCCAAAACATTCTGGGATTCTATGATTATGCTGTAAGTGCTGCTAACAATGCCCCTGATCCATTGGATGCTCTACATAACATGCTGGGGTTCTAAAGTAAGAACATTTCCTATATTACCCCTCTAACTTCCAAACAGGAAAAAACAAGTGGAGGTAACTGTCTTAAAAAAGTAGGAACAAATACAGATCATCAAGTTGGCTCTGACAATGTACAACACTATTAGTTATCACCTTCCCTGTGTTTTCAGACTGAGAAATTCCTGTGGCAGGAATAGGAGTTGGAGTGCATATTGTAGAGGTAAACAGTGAAAAAGGACTTCGAACACTCATTAATTAATATGCACATATTCTCTCCAATTTCTGGAAATGACAGACAGAACCATAGATTCACTGCAACACAACATAAAAATAATAAATAAACTACTGCCATCTGCTGCTCGTGAGCCTGAGCTGTTGTGTGGTCATTTGGATTTGATATACCTTTATGTCATACTGGGAGGAAATAACAGACTTCTGTTTCATATGTGTTTTCACACCACCAAAAAAAAACCTACACAAAACTGCTCAGCATCAGAATTTTTGACATAAAGTTACTTTTCCAAAAGAATATCAACCATTCTCTAGAAGAAATTGGGATTGCACAGCTAGTGCTGTTGTTCTAGTTTCTCTGAACTTTTGAGACATGTGTGATAAACTTTGGTAATCATTTATTTATAAGACAAAAACGCTGAAAAATGCTGCTTTGTAAAAAAGGGGTCATTTTTATTGTGAATTCTACCAACTCTTTTTTTATGCTTGGTAAATCACCTGATTTGACTCTTTCTATCTCTGTGACTACAAATTTGTTATCTTCCTTGGTGGCTTCTTTAGAAATATATATATATAAATTATTTGAGATAAATCTTAAAAGCATTGTCTCTTTATCTGCATGAATAAATGGAGTAATATAATTAAAAATGTCCTTGGAAAAATGAAATTATCAATTAGGTTACAATTATGGTATAATTAATCCTGTTTATCTTTAAAAAAATAAAAGTAAGAAAACACTATGCTCTGCATGGTTCCTAACTGCTGCCTTCTTAATTAGGGAATTCTTTCACGGGAGCACAGATAATTCTATTATTAAAACTTTTTTTGCTAACTTAACTTATTAATTTGCTAACTTATCTTATTATACTATGGGTATAGTTCATAACTGTGATGAAGCAACACTATGGTTTTCTTCAGTTAGTGGAATCTGAGCTGCTTTCTGATCACGGTATTTGACAGCCTTGTACAGAAACACTTACCATCATGTTCTTCTCCATGGTGTTAATTAATAGTGTCACCTTTTTGAACAGGTGTTATTAAATACAGGGGGTCTTTTGCTATTAGATGATGTCAGCAAAGTAAGTGATACAGGAGCATTTTAAATTCACATATCTGAGGCTATTATTTACTAAATAACTATTACATAGTAAAAAAGAGAATCATCTAATAATAGAATAATGTAAAGTAACCCTACATAGTTTAGTTGTGTATTTCAAAGGGAGCTTTGAAAGTGCTCAATATTGGCCAAACCCCACAACTGTTGCCCTCAATACCTTAATTAGAATGAGAACATTAGGTCAATGCCATGTGCTTTTCATAATCCAATAAGACGCTTTACTTGTGACAGTTTGCAGAAATACAGCTCCAGATCATGTTCTAAAAAGATATGGGAAGTCTATTCCACAAAAAGAGGTCATCTGCATTCCTGCTGGCCTAATTTCTGCCAGATGTGACTGCTCTCTGATAATAAAACATGGAAGGATCTTTAAAAAAAAAAAAAAGGTATTTTGAAGCTATGAACACCAGAAATCTTTTGAAAGAAGAAGTTTACCTAAATCCTTTGCAGTATCTGGGCAAAAAGTGAGGGTTTGATTTCTTAAGTAGGAAATACTCAAATTTAAAAATGAATTATTCAATTATTGTAAAGGAATTAGTGATAAAGTATATTTTAGGACAAATTAAAATATATTTTGATCAAAACCCAGAAAGCAATAAGCTTATAGTCTTGTAGTACCTCCTCATATTCAGCACCTATCAAAGAATTCTTAGAACTGGGGGATTTTATGTATATCATTTTCTATATATTTTATGTATAGTGTTATCTATAAAACCACTACTCAGTGTTTAGAGACTCTCTCTCTAAAAAGGAATCAGAAAATAACAGGTGATGAAAAGGGTTTTATTTTCTGAATCAACATCAAGTATTCCCAAACCTATTGCTGTCCAATGATAGCAGACCATGAATACAATAATTTTGGATAAGTATTTTAGTTATAGTTCTCAGTGCTTCTTGAACTACCTCTTCATAGTCCAAAGCCTGCAATTACTGTGACATTTAGAAAGGAGAAAAAAAATCTTAATTGCATAATTTTGTAAATATTTGTTATTAATGGTCCATAGTTTAGTGTTGATAAAGCTCTTCTCTGAAACATGACAAATTGGTTCTTCAAGAGGTGCATCACAACCCGACGTTTCCTCCTATCCTTGCATGCAAAATCAGTAATGAATGGCACATTTTTTTCAGTCTTTAGAGTGGTGCAAGTTAAGGACTCAAAAAAATTCCCAAAAGACAAAGCTAAACACGTGTTTAGTCTTCAAAACTAATATTTGATTATGAGAAATTACACCTCTTTCAAATAGCTCTGGTAAACAACAGTCATTTAAAAAAAAAAAGTATGCCATAATACTCCTCTCATTTTACGAAAAGACATAACAAACACTTTGAAATGAAAAACAGGTATCTTTTATTTCAGAACTTGATAGAAGTTCTGCAATTGGAGGAAGAACTAAAGTAGGAAAAGTCTGACAGTTTCCGTCCAAAATAAGCAAAGGAGCTACTATAGATCTGCTGAAAGAAAAAGTGTCTCATGATTTTTAAATATACATCAGGTATTTGGAAATTCTTGGGTGCTGGATTTACACTGAGATCTTTGGAAGTCCTTCATGAACTAAAGCTCTCAGGCAAATCTAAGGCCAATTTTTCATTTATACAAATATCAAAAGTTAGATTCTGTGAAACTATGAAGACTGCAGTCCAGAGAAAACATTAGGTTTGAATCTCTCCCTTAAAATTTAACAACATTGTTATTAATTACTCTGGTTAAAAAAACAAGACAAAAAAAACCCCAAAGCAAAAAAACAAACAAACAAAACCCCAAAACAAACAAAAAAACCCCTAACAACCTAAACAAACTCCTTAAATAAAAACACTGAAAAAATTCTGGAACGTATTTCAACTGCAGATAAATTTTATGGACAACTTTATCCACTCAGGGAGAGTTTAATTGTATGTTTAAGTACCTAATATGCCAAATCTTTTTTGTATGTATATGGATAGAGTATTACCATCTAAATCAATGTCCAGGAACCTTTGAAACGCTCACCAAGGAAATTATTTGTAAATAAATGAACCTGCTCTGAAGTTTTCTTTATCATTTTTTTAACTCCTGAACCAAGAGGGCTACAATCTAAATGAAGCTTGAACCAAAAAAAAAAAAGTTTCATGAAATTGTAAGAAAATAACTGCTTTATTTGATCTTGCACTACAATTTTGTTTAATTTCAAGATTGATATTTTAATCTAAATTTCTTATACTTGGCATTTTCTTTCTGTTCATTTTATTGATTTATGATCATTTTATTAATTTCTGTAAGTCCTCTTGCCATCAAAATCAATAATCACAATGGGAATTTTGCGTAGCTGTTGAAGTCCACAAGAAACTCATCACATACTGGAACATGGGAATTACTCTGTGCTTTTGAAAACTGAAATTGCATACAGAATTAAATCTATAAAGGAAAATCAGTTTAATCGGGGGTCTCATAACAAGAATATATATTACAAAACTTGAAGCCAAAAAATGGTAATGTTTGTTCATAACTTGTATATGACATAGGAAAAAGCCCCTTGAAAATTCATTTTGGTTGGAGGTTTGAGGAAAACAAGGTCAAACTCAAATGGGTGCAAAAAAAGTTGCTAGGATGACCAAGGGAATTAGATCACAGAACACAGGAGATGGGTGATAAAAGAAATTACTTATTTGTCCTGGATTGTAAAATAGACATAAAATCAGAAAAAAATCCTCCATACAAGTACCTCAGAAGACAAAATGTAAGAGAAATTCTAGTTATACTGCATAACAATATTTGACCCAATATTTGCACAAGGACAAAGGAAAATACATTGATGATCATATTTAAGCTTGGAGTTCATTGATTGTTCCTAACAAAACTGCATTTTTTTTAAGGAAGACTGGTGGAAAATTCCCCTGTATCCAAGAACAGAAGCAAACACTTTTATGGTAGATTATAAAGCATGACAAGTGATTAACTCTATGTTTTGAGAGATTTTTATAGAGAGTGTTTTACAGTTCAGTTTACTAAAATATTTTAGCTTTTATTCACTAGACTGCTATCAAATTCGTGGACATCCTCTTCATTGTCAAACCAAAGACAGATATGAAATACAGAATCCAAATACTGGATTCACCTGGCCCTCAATTGATTCCACAAATTAACCTTGGAAAAATCAGTGAATTTCTTTCTCAGGTACAGGGCAGTGTTAATTTATTTCAAAATGTCTAATTAATAGCAGTGCTAATGAAATGCACTGGATATAATTTTAACAACAACTGTTATCTTTATGACAACTCAGCATTTCATCTGAAGGGCAGATTTTTATTAAATAAGGTAGGCAGAGATCAAATGTTAAAGTCGCATAAACGTCCATGCAGGAGACAATCTTTATTCAAGACTCTACTATTCAAAATTAAGTAAGTACATTAAGTAAATTAATTAATCATAGATTCAACATGAACATGATGAAGTCCTTTGCCAGAGACAGCTACAGAACCTGAATTTTAAGCATGATGTATAATAAATTGAAAGTAATGCAAAACAGCAGGAGTGGAGTGTGAGAATGAAGTAGGCATAAGGGGTTGTCCTTCCTGAATACTCCCACTTACTGCCTGTGAAACAGAGTGGCACATGACTGTGAAACCCTTAAGTAGTAATGTCCAACATTGTTTTGAAATGAACTTTTTTTACAGTCCCACCATAACAATTAGAACAAAATAATGAGCAAACACACTATCTCAGTTGCCTCTTTGCATCATTTCTCGTCCCTGTTTTACTACTTAAATATTATTGCACCCCGAAGCTGTTTGGATCAATTACTGCAGGACTTTTTTCATCTCTTGAAAACTTTGAGGTGTTCTTTAGAAAATTACTAGATTTTCCAAGACTTTAATCTCTGTATTGATGACCTATCTGCTTAGGGAACTTGCAGCTCTGTCTCACAGTACTGAAATACTGAGTTTTTTCCTAGTTCATGAACTTCTGCTCATAGGCATAGCTCAATAAAGATTAGTACTAACATATTAGGTTTCACTTCATTTTACCACCCCTATTTCTTTTTTTTTTTCCCCAAGAAATACCACATCAGTAATTCTTTATTTATTTCTACTCTACTTCAAAAACATTTCTTCCCCAACACATTTTAACTGTCCGTTGGTTCAATGCATCCTGCTACACACACCTGCTTCTCACTGCTCAAACACAAATACTGAATTGCAAATCATGTGTCCCTCAGATTGTCACCATTTAATATATCTAATGTATATTAATAATTTTCTTTTGTTATTCTAACATTGTTCTCTTTTAAATGTACATACATCATTATTTTGGGAACTTGGAATCTGATACTGAATCACTTGATTTCAGCAGGTTCCTTGAAAATTTAAGAAATGTATTTATGCTGAGATTAATTCTAAATGGGTCATATAATTATTCTTTGGAATAGGATTATTATAAAAACAAAATGTGTCTCCGTTTTTCCCTTGAGTTCCTAAAGAAAAAGATGGAGAGTTCATAAAATGGTGTGGCAACCTTGGGAATATATTTCTACTACAGCTCTTGAATTGGATTTGTTTAGATACTGTTGTGAATTTATGGAGAAATTACACTGACTTCATGTTTGCCCTCGAGCTGAAATGCTTCAGTTTCTGCAATAATCTGCAATTACTCTCTCTTGGTTCGAGTAAGGCAGCCAGTTTCCCAGATGCAGAATCTCAGGCATGAAAATGGTGTCCAGTTCGCACTGGAGCTGGGACTTAAAGTGAGATTCAGCCTGTGATAGCTTGGAAAGAGTTATTTGACATCAGTATCCATAAATATGTGTACATCATACTCAACAAAAGGTATTTCTAAATGATTTAGGAAAAAGAGGAGTCTCTAGAATTTGGAAATGTTGTACAAAAGATCCTCTATTTCATTTTATTTTTAGTAAATGGTTGCACCTTGCCTTAAATTCTGAAGCATGAGATTCAGTGTTTGGGTTTTTTTCCCAAATACAGATTCTCATAAAATAGAACAGCAGACCTGCTGGAGAACTTAGCACAACAAATTTTTTCATCTGAAGAACTTTGCCTTAACTGACAGTCATTCACACAATGATGTGCATAATGTCTGTCATAATATAAAAATTCTCCTTAATAATTGCCACAAAACAAAATTATAAAGTCAAAGTCTAAAAAGTATTGCAGATTTTCCTCAAGTGCTCAATATTAGTCTGCTAGATATTTCTGACTCTTTAACCTATAATTTCATTCATTATTGATAAGAATATGCATCTGAGTGAAGATTGATTGGAAAATTAATATGCTAACCACGTGATGCAAAGTAAATTGTCATTACAAAAAAAAAAAAAAAACAAAATGGGAAATTATGTTCTTTGTAATGTAGAGTGGGAAAACAGCTAAAGATATAACTTCATCACTTTCAATTGTGCAATTGTACAATTACTCTCTTGTTATTCAGGTCTATTCATTCTTCCACTATCTGAAGCAGAGAAAACAGATGACACTCGTCCACCACACAAGGGGAGGGTGTGGGACTAAATCCTGGGACGAGATCCTGGCACTGGCCACAAATGTAAGTAAAAACTAACAATATGACACAGTTTCTTCTCAGTCACTGATAATCAGAGGCAAGAGGAGGATTTTTGATTTGAATTAGTTTGGTCTCAAGGATGTTCCCATTATGATGTAGCTACAGTAAAGATTCACAGTTTCTGACTTAGGAAGCCAGTTTTGCGGCTCTCCCTAAAGATGCAGTGATGCAACATGAGCTCCTGCAAAAGGTGATTTTGAATATTCTGCTGTAAACACCCCTCTGGAGCACCTCTGTTCACTCTGTTGTTATTATGCCAGATACCAGCTGCAGTGTGTGCTGCTCTTTTCTTACAGCAAATGACAACATAATCAGTAAGACTTTGCTTGCTATGACTCAATGAGATGAAGCATTTGGCAAAACAACATTTCCAGCACAGAGTCATGTATTAATGAAACCTTTCCTCAGTGCTCCCTGTCTGTGTGAGAACCAGGTCTTTGCATAGAGGGAAATTGCTTTGGACAAGAAAAGAAATTAAAGCAGATACAGTTTCTCTTCAGGGTCTTTGGTTGTGATACAATCACAACTATACCGTTCTTGCATCATTTCCATCTTCCCACTTTTACCATCACTTTTATGCAGCCCCTTCATTTGTGTTCCCCTCTTGGTATTTAAGACAAGGGAGTTACAATCTTATCCTTTTCTTTACTGTTGGAAAAATCATTATTCCATTTGTTACTCCTCCTTGCCCTTTCTCCTAAACAAAAAAGAAAGCAAAGGATAACAACTCCAAAAGCTCCTAGTACACCATCACTGTTGTTCTTGCCCTTTTTAAATGTGGCTTCTCATCAGTTTGAAATTTTTTGTTGGTGGAGGGGTGGGGAGTGAAGGGCAATATGAAGAACATGACAATATAATTGAATAAGAAGATGTCGACCATCATTGAGAAGGACAGCCACAGTCCAAAAGGGGGGGGATGGGGCCGTGTCACAGCACGGATTCAGGAGACAAGGTAGGGTGCAGGTAGCTTGCTTTATTCAAGCGTGCACGCCATTTTTTATCAGCTCAGGAGGGGAAAGGGCCAGAACATGGGGCGGAGCATGGGACAGACAAGCGGGGGAACAAACCAGGATAGGGACATGGGCAAAAGGGGGGGGAGCATAGGAGGAACCGGGGAAGGGAAGGAAAGGGCGAATGGTGGCTGTCTCCTCTCTACAGCTTCTCCAGCAAACCAGTAGAGAAGCAGGGAAGCAGGGAAGTGAACCAGCCTGGAGACACAAATTCTGGGGAAACATACAATGTGTATATACATAATAACTGTAAAGTCTGCATCATAAAATCCTTTCAATTGCTGTACATATTTTTCCACTTCTGAAATTGTTCCCATTCTGATTCTTGGTCCTCGACAAAGGACAATAGAGTTCTCCCTTCTTTTTGAATTCAGAGAGGGAAGGGGAGCAGCAATGGCAGCAGCAATGGCACTCCAGGGTACCTGTGTGTACACTCAGGGCTTCCATTCAAAGCAGGCTCTGGCTGCACACAGGTGTACAGGTCAGAATAAGTAATGCCTTGGCTGTGGCTTAACAATAAGGGAAAGATAAAGGAATCTTGTTGGGAATGAAGATGGAAAGTGTTGCTGCTGTACCTGCTGACTTTCTTTCATTATTTTCTTTCAGGACCACTGTGACCCTGATTGTGTGTGGAGTTCATAATGATGCTTCAGGTTCATGACACATTCCTGGAGGGAAATAAAATCTCCTGCCAGTGGTAGAGGATGCTCAGTGAATGCAGCTATACCTTCTCTCCCACACTTTTGCTGCCTATTTCCAGCCCTCTTTGCACTTCCAGCAGTCAATATCCATGCATTTTTACATACTTGGGGAAAACATGTTTATTTAAATCCTGATTTTGTATACTTACTGAGCGAAGTAATAGCTAATAGGAAAGCAAAAGTAATTCTACCTTCTCACTTTAAAGATTTTCCTCACTCCTTTATCATATATGAAATACTGTTGTATTTAATAATGCATAATATTAATATTAAAACCAAGAAATAAACCAAACTCAATAAATAACATCTCATATTGCTACTTCTGTAAATGGCATGTTAGGCTAGATGGACCACTGATCTCACCAAGAGGGAAATTCCTTATGTACTTAAATCTTTTTGATTTTTTACTGATTCCAAGGGAGAAATCTTGGGAGTTATAAGTGAAAAACCTGCATAAGTGCTTTTTTTATTAGCACATGAAGAGTTTTATGAATCTGACAAAATTTAGTGACTGCAACATATATTCACTCACAAACTACTGACATGCTAATCAAATGTCTTTTTATATGCAATATTCCTTAGGCAAGAAAAAACAATAGAGTTATCTATCCTGAAAACAGAAATAAGTTCATCTCAAACTCCAAAAAGCAATATAACCAAATTACCTAGGAAAGAGTTTTTCCAAAACATGACTATTGTTCCATATAACAAGCTTGACTGGGACACAGGTGATTTTTTTGTATCCCTGAGCATGTCCCCACACTGTTATGTACTTTATGAAGTGCAGCTGCCACAGAATAGTCACCACTGCTCTATCACTCCAGCAAACTACGTGGCCCATTTTGGGTAGTCACGTTGTGTGATGTCTGACTTGGAATTTTTTTCCTGCGCCTTTGAATGAATTTCTGCAGAACTAGGCTATTAACACAGTGCTTGTATTTTTTCCCAAATCTTCGTTCACAAAGCCTAGCCATGATGATGTATTTATGTAATATCAGGTGTATTACTATAATAACTACAATGAACCCTCTACTAAACCTAAATGAATAACTGCCTTTGATTCAACTCAATGGTCATTTTGCTTTATCAAAATTTGGAGAGGATCCTCTTTGGAGGTGTTGATTGTAACCATCAACAAGAGTCAAACACTAGGAACATTTGGAAATCTGTGTGTACAAACTGTGTGACCATCTGCTTGTTTAACTTATATGAGAAGACTAATTATATGAGAGAAGAGCCAATTTGCTGCCTGAGAAATCATGAAAATGTGTGAGCATCACAGATATACAATGCAGGCTTGTATTTCAGAGAAGCATTTTAGGCAGCATATGTCTGGAGGGACAGATATGCCCCAAGTCCACTGCAACCACGAGAGGTCATTCACTAGTCTTGCCTCTTAGATTCTGTGGAGTTCAAAAAACACCCAGCTACATTTTTTCAGCTACATCTTTCTTTACATAGGGCTCTTTTCCTCTTTTTCCACTCTCTGGGCTGCTTCATCACCTCGCAAGACAGGACTACAAATAATAACTTTGATTTTCTTGATGCTTTAGTGCTTGACTGTCATTTACTGTAAATTCCCTCCAAAACCATAGAGAGAAACACTCACTGCTCCATCTACGTTAGAAGACAATGCTATATTCAGATTCCAGCAGAGGAAACAGGTATCTCAGATACTCCTGATTTGGATATTTTTACATGTATTTAATAATATTCAACAAATATTTATTCCTCAGTTTTCACTACCTCCTCTTAAACTTGTGGAAAGTTAGTACTTATGCACACCTGTGGATCTTTAAGTATTTTCTGATTCAAATCCACAAGAAGATATTTCTGATGAGAAGATAATTTGCAGAGATGTAATGCAACATATAATCACTAAAATACAGATTGCTTTGAGACTGGCAAAATCAACAGTGCAGATTTACTGGTTTGTACCGTAACTATGCCAAAAAGATCAACAGCTTCTCTTCCATCTCAGACAACAGATTGAAGCACCCAACCAACTGCTGGCAAGATTTTGAGACTTCATGTTTTACTCCTTGAATAGTGATGAAGATATATTATTCCCTTACAAACAATCTTAGATTTATAAACCAATTATTGCTACATTAATCAGTGTCTGCACTTCAGTTTTACGATCGCCAGATTTGATCATCGTAAGAGTAGCATAAGTTTCTAAAGGCAGAAATGTTTATAATGACTTTTAGGACTTATTTCTAGAAATCAGGTATTTTAATTGTTATATTTTCAGCTATTTTTAAGCATCTAATGCATTTAAGATATAGGAGCCTGTCTATTCTATGTGGACTATACTCAAACCTCAAAAGACTGGAGCACAGGTCCTTATTCCTCTAGAACAGAGTGAGAGTTCAGACTTTATAGAGAGAGTCAGCACAGAAGAAACCATGAAGTTGCATCTAGGCCAGAACTATAGGCTCTACAAGACTATTTTACATCTACCTAAGCAGAGTGGTCATCTTAGTTATTTTGAAAAGTGCAGTTGCACAAGTTCTCTCCTGTAACCCAATGCAACTTCTGCTTGGCAAATCATCAGTGGTATTCCTGACAAGGGAATGCTCTCATATTGGGCAGATGTTCTACCTCTTATAGCTCTGGTTGTGAAAAATGAACAGGCAGCCTGAGGCAGTGTCAGGAACAAATGTATCAGATCCTGTCTGTCTGATCCACTTGCTGTGTGTTTCATTAAGAAATGCACATCTGCTGCATGCAAACTGAGAGCAATGAAATTGCAAACATGTTCTGAAACAACAGTGGAGATCTTTCTTGATCCGTGGTCTGAGATGCATAAGCCACTTCTCTGAAATAAAACTCACCTCACTCTTCATTTCACAGCCACATCCATGAAGGAGGTTCTGCCAGAACACAGTGGTGTTTAGAAATTCTGCCTCCTGCAGTTTCCAGTATTTTCTGAAGATCCAGCAGTGCTCCTGCAGAGGAGTTTGTCAGACAGTTATGGAGCAAACTGCCCTCAGTGGGGAGGATGGAGGAGGCCGTGTGTGAGAAGGTTTCATGAATTATTCACGGCCTATCACAGTACATATGTGTCCATGATCTCTCCTCTAACGGTGAAGAGCAAAACGCCAATGAGAGCAGATATCTGTTAACTGCCATGATAACTGTGTGCAGGATGTAAGGAGCCAGAGAGCTCCCAAAATCTGGCTGATGTGCCTGTGCTCTGGCTGCTGAAGTATAGTCCTGATGCGACAGCACCTGGCAGAAGGTGGTTTAATTGCACACTAAGCTGCAATTAAATGCAGGATGCTTGTAAAATGTGCATTTGGACAATTACAGGCACGGAGAACTGTGGAATTGCCATGTGTTGCAGGGGAGTCCTTTGCACTGCACAACATTTGCAGGGAAGAGGCGGTGAGCATGTCCCAGGGGTGGTATGGTGCCAGTGTTCATTTGTGCAGAAGAAGGAGGCAGCCAGAAAATGCACCTGTGATAACAGGGTCTGACTCCAAGAAGGTAAAAGGCAAAACAGGATGCTGTACGTGCCCATACGCTTGTTTTGCAGAGTGAATTATCATAACAATGTAAAATGTTCTCTAGGGAGGAGCTGTCATAGTGGATAATGCAACTTCAGCAATGTACTTCTGACTTGACAGATTGCTTTGGGTTTTTTGGTAGATTGTTTTTTGGTTTTGTTTTTCCTGTGTTTTTTTTATTCCTCTTTTTTCTTTTTATTACTTTTTTTTTAATTGTTTTTATTTTTTAAAGACTCTTGAGGTACTCAAAAGTGGTGAGAATTTATTAAAGACAGAATTATATTTCAATTAATGCTTCCTTAGGATGTCTGATTTATGAAATGCAACAGCACAGCCAACAGTTTGTACTCGTATGGAGTGTAAACAACCACAAGGTAATAAAAGTAAAAAATAAAAAAAAACCACTTGTCATTTGAATTCCCTCCTATCTCATTCTGAAAAATAAAATTAAATAAATGCATAAGATAAACATGCTCAGTTTTTACCAATTGAGCAACAAAGGGCAGTAACAGACTGGGAGGAGGGAAAAACTGATGTATTATTATTATGTCTTTGTTAAATGTGAATCCTACAAGAGCTCTCTCCATGATTTTTTCACATGCAATGTGTGGAGTTATAGATATGTCCTTCCTGCATTTTTGCTGCACTTTTCATACCTGAAAGAATAGCTGTGTTTCATGTTTGGTGAGGTTCTGATCTGACCTTGCCTACCAAGCTCATGGGGCGGAGAGGAGGCTGCAGACACGAGTTTTCCATGTCAGGAAGCTGCTCCATCACCTCCCCACGTTGAATTGGTTGTTTATATTGCACTTTTCTGTCATGCTGCCTCATGGAAACAATATACCAGTAATAGCTCACCTTTTTCATCCACCTGATGTTCTCATGTTTTGCTGAGAAACTCCTTCTAACATTCCAGCAGTTGGATACTGATTAATTTTTCTTTTGTCTTGATCACTCACACATCTCTTGCTGGCAGGTGGTAGGGCTTCCACCTGGGCAAGATGTCCCTGAAAGAAAGAAATGTTGTTTATCCTTCTGCCTATGAAGATGAAAACAAAATATTCATACACATGAAGTATCTTATATCCTCCCTAAATGGTCCTCAGAGAATATTTACTTTTTAGCTTTGGTGCAAGAAAACACATTCAGGGGGAAAAAAATCATTATTACTGGACTCACATTTGCAAACACTTTTGTATTATCATATATTTAGCAACAATCTTTACTTTGTGGTTTTCCAGGGATGTGTCAAAATACACTGGGTGTTTTTTCATTACAAGAAAGCCATATGTGTTGCACAGCAACATCGGAGAAACATTTTGTTTGCACATTGTGGTATCTGCACACCGGAAATAAATAAAGAATGAAGATTAGTCTGTCAGGCCTTCCTGCTAGCCCAGGAGCCTGCTTTTTCTTCTTTTGAAAACAAGGTAACAGAGGAAGAAAGCAGTCTCCTTCCCTTCCCAGCACTGCATCACAGAAGAACCTTAAAGCTATAATTACTTTAAAAAAAAAAAAAAAAAAAAAAAAAAAGCTTATTTTACTATGAGTAGAAGAAAGTCTT